CACACACACACACACACAGAGCTCCGTGGGACGAGACTGTGTTTGAGAGATGCAGAGCGGTATTTGTGGGAAGTCGCCTTCAATAAGAAGAGTGCCATTGTTGTTAAGCAGGTCCAATCAATCAATCCATCAATCAATTGATAAAACAAATAAACAAACAAACAATCATCGTTGTTGGTCTGACCCGTTGAGCTCAATCCAGGGAGACCACTGAGATTTCAATCCCGACCTTGGCGTTTTTTCCTGTTTTTTGGGTGTCTGTGGTGTGAAGCGTCATGTTAGCGTTTCCTTATCTCCTCTTTTCGTTATAATCCTGGATAGACACGACCAATCAATCAATCAATCAATCAATCAATCCATTTCCTCCCTTTGTTCCGACTTTAATTGATTAATTATCTTCTTCCTCCCCCGGCCCGCTCGTCTCTGAAGTACCGCACAGCACGTCTCCTCCTCCGTCACCTCATCCTCCTCCTCCTCTCCTCCCCCTCGTGCTCGGCGAACCCCTCCTTTTCCGCCACCTCCTCCTCCTCCTCCTCCTCTCCCACCTCTCCCTCCTCCTCCGTCCTCTGCTTGTCCTCCACGTCATCCATCGGAGATACGATCTGGTCATCAAACGTACAATTAACACTTGTGAATGATTTTTGCTTGTGTTTTTGGTTCAATACCAGGGAGTGAGATCGATCCATACGTCGACCGATCAGCACAATACCACAAGTTTCACGCATGAATGTTTCAGCGATCTGGTCACGTCACACATCCAGGCCTTCTTTTTTCTTTTTTCTTTTCTCTTTTTTCTTTTCCTTTTCTTTTCCCTTCTTTTTGTTCTTCCACTACACCCAAGCCACCTTAAACGCGGTCACAGCAGAAACGTAGGTGGGCATACAGCGTCATCTGATCGACCGTGTCAAATACGAATATTGGGGCGATCTGACCGTGTCCCAGATTTCATAAATATGGATGTCTATTGTCTCCTTCTGTTCATCCTTGCTGAGCTTTTCTACTGTAATCCCTGACCAATCTAGCCAACCTTGGAGCTATCAGAGCGTGTCACACATTGAAGATACAGATCTTCATTTTGTTTGTTTATCGCTTTCGTCATTATTGGCATTTATTGCCATATAAATACAGAAAGACCTCTCTCTCTCTCTCTCTCTCTCTCTCTCTCTCTCTCTCTCTCTCTC